TCTCTCTCTCTCTCTCTCTCTCTCTCTCTCTCTCTCTCTCTCTCTCTCTCTCTCTCTCTCTCTCTCTCTCTCTCTCTCCTGCGTGACTTTGTTTCTTAGCATTCGTTTTCTTTCTTTTTTAATTTTTGTGTATTTGAATTTTTTTTTCCTTCTGTTTTTTCTCGTGGGGCTGTGTCGTACCGAAAGAAGCGGGGCCCGGCCTTCAAGCAGCGACCGGGCCTTCCCTTGGCCGACCCCCCTAAGGCTGCGGCTCGTATACGGGAAGGCCCGCGACCGATGTATGGTCCAAGTACTGGTGGTTTAAACCAGCAGTACCTCGCCCAGCTTGAAAAGCCCACGTGGCTGTTAACGCGCCGGGCAGGGTACCCACCGATGAACAACCGGTATTCCCCAAAAAATGGGGGGGAAAAAAAAGAAAAAAGAAAACGTCAACGAACGGGCGCAGCAGGGGGGGGGAGGGGGGAAGAAAGAGAGAGAGAGGGAGTCAGACTCATAGGCATCAGACAGTCTCTGACGCCCTCTCTCTCTCTCTCTCTCTCTCTCTCAAAACGTCCAAATGAGAATGAATCTTCGGCGTTACGGTGCTCCCCGGCCTCCCCCAAGTTCATAGTTCCAACTGCGGAGCCTGTGGCAGTGAGATATGAGTAGTCGCTCCGGTGTTGGTGTCATAGCTGACGTTGTTGCCTGTTATTAGCAGTCAGTCCCCCATTATCAAGGGGTCGGGAGAGCAGAGGTGGGCGGTGGGGTGACTGTGAACGGGGGGGGAGGTGAGCGGAATGGGTGCATCAGGCTTGGCGGAGTGAGCAGGGGGAGGGCGGGTGGCAGGTCCGTACCTCCAACCCAACTTCGTCCTCCTCCCAAGCCCTGTGCCACCTGACCAGCCACCCCCCCTCCCCCTGCTCAGTCCGCCAAGCCCGATGCATCATTCTGCTCACCTCCCCCCCATTTCACAGTCTCCCCACCGCCTACCCCTGCTCTCCTGACTGCTTGATAATGGGGGACTGACTGGAAATAACAGGCAACAACGTTAGCGATGACACCAACACCGGAGCGACTACTTATATCTTGCTGCCACAGGCTCTGCAGTTGGAACTATGAACTTGGGGGAGCACCATGTTGCCATGGGCTTCAAGGATTACTAATGCGGCATGCATGGGTTCTGCATGGGTTCTGAGAGGGTATCAGGTTTAAGGGGTTTCAAGGTTTCTCAAGGAATAGATGTTGTAAAGATGAATAATGGGGGGCTGCGGAATATGGCCGCTGATCAAATTGGAAAGGGGCGCTCCAAGATGGGACGGGGAATACTGGCAGCTCCATGGGACAACGGAGACCCCGATCGACAAGTGAAAAGACCACAGCCCTAGGAACAATGATTGGAATTCTGTGTTGTAAGATGTATCAATGGGACACTGGATCTGGTTTCCAGCAGGTGCCGCTCCCCACCAATAGATGGAGCAGCCCAACAGATAAGCCCTCAATTCTGATGGTTCTCTTACCACCGTCGGGATAGAGAGCTTACACAGGGGCTCTTTTGCAACAAAAAAAAAGGAAAAAAAGAGAAAACTACGGCGCAGTCAGGGGTACAGTTTGTAATTGCATTTGAACTGCATTTTAGCAGTTTAGTCAGGGCCCGAGTTTCAATTGCAGTTGAAACTGCGTTTTAGCAGTTTGAAACTCGGGCTGG